ATGACTCACCCTGTCTGGAGTCCTGGGACTCCTTGCAAATGTGATGAAAATTACTGATCCTTTCCCCAGGGGTAGAAATACACACACATACACACACGCATGCATTACCCTTGCCTACAAGTCTACAATTTCAGGCTGTGGAAGTTGGGAATCCCTGCTTCTGTAACTGGATATGAGTCCAGTCTGGTGTTACACAATAAGCAGCTGGTTTTCAAACCAGATGGAGCCTGGACCATCCTCAGGCTGAATTTGCATCTGGGTTTTAAGGGTACCAGCAGATACTGCTGCTTGGCCACCTCTGAGAGCCTCTGTTCTCTTCATTGCAGGCCGCCTGGACACGAGGCCCTTCTGCAGCGGTCATGGCAACTTCAGCACTGAAGGGTGTGGCTGCCTCTGCGAACCTGGATGGAAAGGCCCCAACTGCTCCGAGCCTGAATGCCCGGGCAACTGTAACCTTCGAGGCCAGTGCCTCGACGGACAGTGCAACTGCGATGAGGGCTTCACTGGTGAGGACTGCAGCCAGCTGGCCTGTCCCAGCGATTGCAATGACCAGGGCCGGTGCGTGAACGGGGTCTGCGTCTGCTTCGAAGGCTACGCCGGGGCCGACTGCAGCCAGGAGGTCTGCCCGGTGCCCTGCAGCGAGGAGCACGGGACATGTGTGGACGGCCGGTGCGTGTGCCAGGATGGCTTTGCGGGCGAAGACTGCAACGAGCCCCTGTGTCTCAACAACTGCTACAACCGCGGGCGCTGCGTGGAGAACGAGTGCGTGTGCGACGAGGGCTTCACGGGAGACGACTGCGGCGAGCTCGTCTGTCCCAATGACTGCTTTGACCGCGGTCGCTGCATCAACGGCACCTGCTTCTGCGAAGAAGGCTTCACGGGCGAGGACTGTGGCCAACTCACCTGCCCCAACGCCTGCCAGGGCCGCGGCCAGTGCGAGGAGGGGCAGTGCGTGTGTGATGAGGGCTTCGCGGGCGCAGACTGCAGCGAGAAGCGGTGTCCCGCGGACTGTCACCACCGCGGCCGCTGCTTCAATGGCCAGTGCGAGTGTGACGACGGATTCACGGGCCCAGACTGCGGGGAACTCAAATGTCCCAATGGCTGTAGCGGCCATGGCCGCTGCGTCAATGGCCAGTGCGTGTGTGATGAGGGCTACACCGCGGAGGACTGCAGCCAGCAGCGGTGCCCCAGCGACTGTCACGGCCGGGGACGCTGCGTCCAGGGCAAGTGCGTGTGCGAGCAGGGCTTCAAGGGCTACGACTGCAGTGAAATGAGCTGCCCCAATGACTGCCACCAGCATGGCCGCTGTGTGAATGGCATGTGCGTCTGTGACGACGGATACACCGGGGAAGACTGCCGGGACCTTCGCTGCCCCCGGGACTGCAGCAACCGCGGCCGCTGTGTGGACGGGAAGTGCCTGTGCGAGGAGGGCTTCACGGGCCCCGACTGTGCCGAGCTCTCCTGCCCCAGTGACTGCCATGGCCAAGGCCGCTGCGTGAACGGGCAGTGCGTGTGCCACGAGGGCTTCACAGGCAAAGACTGCAAGGAGCTGAGGTGTCCAAGCGACTGCCATGGCCAGGGCCGCTGCGAGGACGGCCAGTGCATCTGTCACCAGGGCTTCACAGGCCCCGACTGTGGGCAGCGATCCTGCCCCAATGACTGCAGCGAACGGGGACAGTGTGTCTCTGGGCACTGCATCTGCATCGAGGGCTACACTGGGGAAGACTGCTCAGAAGGTGAGTACCTGTGCCAGTAAGAGTGATAACGGCTGTGATGTTCCTGTGTGCACTGGAGGACTATTTGTATCAACACACCCAGATTCTATTTATTCATGATATCAATACATTTATATCAAACACTCATGTGTGGGCTCTGGACACTCACGACTATGGTGACTACCTTGGTACAGGGTTACCTGGCTGAGAGCTCAAAGGCTCAGAGAGGTTATGTCATTTTCCCAATCACACACACACACACACAGCTGGTGCTTGGGTCTGCCTAACTCATGTACACTGAGTTGAACATCCATTGCCAAGCTGAGGTAGATAGAGATGTCTTTCCTTTTGCTAAGCATGGACCTTCTTTTCTACTTTCCACTGACTTTGAGCTGATAGCAAACAACCCCCGCCCCCAAATTTGGATGAAGTGATAATTCAGCAACATTGAGTAGACAGTAAGATTACCTAGAATGAATGGTTTTAAATGTACATTCAGCTAGATTCCCTGCTGATCAGCTATAAGGTAGGCCTGCCACTTAAATTTCTTTTATTTTTTTAACTGCTTTTATCTTAAGGGCTATGAGCTCCTTCATGGAGCCCTGTTCTCAGCAGTCAGCAAAGGGAATGGTACATAGTAACTGCTCAGGAAACATTGGTGGAATCATATGCAAAGACTAATAATGCTCATCTTTAATGAGATTTTTGTACCTCTCTCATTTACCTGTATTGTAATTGTCATGACAGAATTTCTGCTCTTGGCATCTAGGAATAAAGAGCTCCATGTTTAACATGGCCAAAGTATGACAGTCTGGTCGGTAAGGATACAGGCCAGCAGGGAGGCCATGTGAGCCGCAGACCTGATAGGGTTAGCACACTTGAGCAATCTCAGGTGGCACTTTCCCAGGCCCACAGCCCGAATCTGAGCTAGGATTCAGGGAGTGGAGAAGTAGACAGGGGCAGGTCATAAGGAGCATTGAAGGCCACACCACTGACCTGGAACTGAGTAGAAGACTACTGGATTTCAGAGATGGATCCCAACAGGGGGTCCTTCTGCACTTTAGAGAGGGTGGAAGCTGGATTTCAAGGGGAGAGCCTCGGGTCTCTGTGGATTACAGTGGAGGAGGCAGTGGCCCATGGAAGCAAACATAAAAGGATTTCATAGGTACATTACTCACCCCAGATGTCCTTCCTCACTCCTGCCAGTGTCCCCTCCCAAAGACCTCATTGTGACGGAAGTCACGGAAGAGACTGTCAACCTGGCCTGGGACAATGAGATGCGGGTCACAGAGTACCTCATCATGTACACACCCACCCACGCCGACGGCCTGGAGATGCAGTTCCGTGTGCCCGGGGACCAGACATCCACCACCATCCAGGAGCTGGAGCCTGGTGTGGAGTACTTTATCCGCGTGTTCGCCATCCTGGAAAACAAAAGGAGCATTCCCGTCAGCGCCCGGGTGGCCACCTGTGAGTGAGCAAAGCCCCTCTGGACAGTCCCCCCCAGCCTCTCCCCACACAAAGTGCAGGGCCTTCCCCAGGAACTACCCTCACTCTGCCCCCTCAGCCCCCCTTTCTCCTTTTATACTTACCCCAAGTAAGCCTGGAATCCAGTTGAGTTCATTATCTTCTGTTGTCAACTCCTCATTTCCTACCCGTCTCCCTCCTGGCTCTCCCCAGGTCCTTTCTCCATAGCAGGCACCATGTATCAAGAGTTCACCAGGCACCAGACTTTGTACTAACTCATCCAACCCATGAGACAGGAGCTGTTGTTAACCCTGTGTACAGATGAGGATACTGAGACTGAGTGATTAAGCGTGGTTAAGGACCTCATCCCAGATCCACAGCTAACAAGTGGAAGAGATGGCCTTTGGACCGTGACAGTCCTTGCAAATTTATGTTCTTAGCCACTGTTTTGCTTGTGTGTGTGTGTGTGTGTGTGTGTGTGTGTGTGTGTGTGTGTAAATGTTAGGGTTCAAGTTGTTCCTTTAAGAGTCTGGCATCAGCATAATTACCTTTGAACCTGAAAAGCAAGCTGTGGCTAGAAGTTGGCCTTGTCTTGCTTAGTAATAATGGCATTGGCTGCCACTTAATGAACTTGGGCTGCATGCCAAGAAGCGGGCCGGGCAGTCTGCATGGAATATCCTGCTCAGTTCTCAAGGATTCCTAAGGACAGTCATATGTGCCTCCTTCTCACAGGAAAGGAAACAGTCACAGGGCATTTTGTGCATCTTGCCCAAGGTCACTGTATTAGTGGTGGAGCTAAAATTCTGGCACACTCTTAACTCCAAATTTTGCCCTTTATTAGGTTTAACCCTATGAAATCGCAAATATTTCATCTTATGATTTGCAGCAATATTAATTTTCATACTACCGTACAATAGATCACGTCCTCGAAGACACTTAAAACAGACTCCAGCTGTGGTTATCAGCCCCGGGCCATGGGCAGCCATCACGGGTTGAGAGGCCCCTATCTCACCTCTGCCCATCCTTACGTATGTTTTTGTGCTGTTCCTTACAGACCTGCCTGCACCTGAGGGCCTGAAATTCAAGTCCATCAAGGAGACATCTGTGGAAGTGGAGTGGGACCCTCTAGACATTGCTTTCGAAACATGGGAGATCATCTTCAGGAATATGGTAAGGGACACAAGGGAGCAGGTCTGTTTGATCTCAAGGTTCTGGAATGATTGAAGGATTCTGCAGTTTTACATCTCTTGATTTCCTTAGCTTTGGGTAGAATACCAGGCTCTAACTAGCACTTGATGTGTTTGCATGTATATTTTAAGTGATGTTAAGTTTGCCCTGATATTAATAAGTCAAAAGTATAGTAGTTAAGGCTAAAACCCTAGACAAATACAAGTGAAAATATTTCTAGTTTCCTTCTTGAAAATCTCAACTCAGAGCCAAAGAAAAGAAGAACCAGGCTCTTCCATGCAACATCTCCAGGCATATCTCAGATTACATGCCAAAGGCCCTGGTGTGTCAGGGAACCCTGTTTCTCAGTTTTACCCCAGACTCTGCTACCAGCTAGCTGTGTAACCATGGGGGCAATATCACAACTTCTCTGATACCAGCCTTTCCATGTGTCAAAAGTGGCATTGTTTGTGGCTTTAGAATTCCTTTGCCTCGTCCATTCTGTCCTTTGACTTACATGTCAACAGGTGAGTAGGGAAATTTGAAAAGCAGGAGAAATGAACTGGAGACATCCTTTCTCATCTCTGTATCCTCCGTATATGGATCTGCTGCCTACCTAGGGGAGCCTAACGAGGAGAGGGAAGAGCCACAGAGGAAGGAATGGACACAGCGAATGACTCACATAAGTGGAGATGTCGGCACCTCCTTTAAGTCTTATCAAGGGGTTCCTCTCTTTCAGAATAAAGAAGATGAGGGAGAAATTACCAAAAGCCTGAGGAGGCCGGAGACCTCCTACCGGCAAACTGGTCTAGCTCCTGGGCAAGAATATGAGATCTCGCTGCACATCGTGAAAAACAACACCCGGGGCCCTGGACTGAAGAGAGTGACCACCACCCGTGAGTATCACCTGTGACCCATGAGCAGCTGACTGTGCCTTGTGGAACCTTCTGGTTGATAAAGTACCTCCTACATCTGTATCACTTAGCTTTTGCTAATTAACAAAAGGCACATGTGTGCAGGTGTGTGACCCCTCAGCTGAGGGGTCGGGCTCACTGAGCTGGCCTGGACGGGGTTCATTCATATACTTGTGTAATCTGGGACTGATTGCCCGGAATGGCTTCACCCAGGATGGTGACTTTCTGCTCCATGTGAGCTTAACCTTTGGTTGCTTACCTGGGGCTAGAAACACATAATTTGTGTCAGAGCCCATCTCAAAGCCATGGAACTTAAGGGGTAGGAAAACTTAAAAAATGAAAAATTTCTTAATGAGAGGAGCTTCACTGTCACATTGCAAAGGAGCAGGAAGATAAATAATTGAGGACATGGAAAACCATCTGCCACATTATCTAAGTTAATACTATCACCCCGCCCCATAACAGAGATAGGGCAGATATTCATGCTATTTATTTCAAGAGTAGAAACTCAGGCTTGGAGAAGCTGAATTACTTTAACTAATACTTAATACCATCAGAGCCGCAACTTTCAGCCAGGGTTTGTTTTAGAACTCTAAACCCATTACCAATCAATAGCCTCTGTTTTGAGCAGAATGTTGAAACCTAAGTAAAATTTCACTCAATCCTAATGTTGTCAGAACTTCTTGGAGTAGAAAAGGATTTGGATCACTACTAGATCATTTGGTTGGGGGGGGTGGGAAATAACAATAATCTGAATTCGAAGTTGCTCTACCAGGAAGCAAATTTTTTAAAAAAGAAGAAATTAATTTTGCATTGCCATTTAGGAAAAGCTCTTACTTTTTTCAAGATAGCATATGTGCCAACTCTTAGGAATTGACTCTTCTTGGCAGGGGGTTGTTGGAAAAGTTAAACTGTTGACTAATGACAAGAAAGAACATCTTGCATTTAAATGTTTGCACATTTTGCTGAGCTCAGAGCCAATTCCTAGGATCGTCTCCCTCATAAGCAAGTGTGTTCCATCATCCTGACAACATCTCTCTGCGGTAGGTAGGAGGCAGGTACCAACAGGAAGAAATCATTAGATCACCAGAACAGCATAGAAAAGATCAAACAAATGTGCTTATTCGCTGTAGAGAAAACACCCTGAAAGTCCAAAAGACGTTTCTTTCACCGGCCCTTTTCTTTTTAATCTAAATTTGAGGATCAGATGCTTTATTTTCTTCTTATTGAAGAACAAACACCCAACATCTGGAGTTCCCTAATGAAGTACATATCAACATCGAAGGTCAGATGTTTACCGGTTCATTACGCTGATATATCTGAAGTTTTTCCAGATTTGAAGGACCTTAAACTTTCAGTGCAAAATGTGGTTGGTTCCTTCTCTCTGGCACTTAGATGGAGGTTGTATTATTGCTATTGATATGTGAGTATCTTTTAACAGTGTCACAGAAAGGGCAAAAGACGTGG